AAAAAAAAGGGGCCCCGATTTAAAAGACCCAAGCTAAAACAAACCCCAAAAAAAAAAAAAAAAAAAAAAAAAAAAGTAACGGAATCAAAACGGTAAGTTTAGTCGAACTTTATCCAACTATGTAACAAACAATACACTCAAGTCATTTTTTCTTCTTCCACAAATCCATCAAAATCCTCCTCTTCTGTATCTGAATTGATCAGCTGGGCAATTTCGCCATCAAACATACCAGGTCCCCTCTCATCATTGTCGGAGTTAGACTCGTTGCCAGGTGGCTGTTCAGCAATGATGCCGGCTTTCGCGAAAGCTCAGACAACAGTTAAGGCAGATACATTAGCCCAGGGATCCACAATAAATTTACACATGGTGGCGTAACTCGCCCGGCGCTGCCTCCCCGTCTTAGTAAACGTGTGTTCGCAGTCTGTCATCCATCACTCCCACGCCGCTCGCAACTTCTTTTTGAATGCCCCGTTTACACCAATGTCCAACGGTTGGAGTTCTTTTGTTAATCCTCCCGGAATGACGGCAAGCTCTGAATTAGTTTGCTTCACTTCCTTTTTCACAGTAGCAGTGAGATGGGCGCGCATGAAGTCGCAGATGAACAGGGACGGTGATGCGTGGAAAAACCTATTTGGTTTTTACCGGAGGCGTGTGCTGCAGAACTCGGACAACAATTCTCTGATTGGTTTATTGCTGCTGGCGTACGTACTGTACACTTTATGTCTCTGTGTCAGGGACAGATTTTGGAATTCAGTGCACACATAAGGCGCACTGGATTATAAGGCACACTGCTGATTTTTGAGAAAATGTAAGGCTTTTAGGTGCACCTTATAGTCCGGAAAATACGGTACTCACTGAAAACCCTTTTCATTTTATCAACAAGAACAATGTGATCACTGCTTCACAAAAAGAGCCTCAAGGACATCCAATTAGGATGCAACCCTCCACATATCAGGAATAAACTATTCAAAAACAAACTGACAAAACATCAACCCCTCCTCCCCTCTCTCATTCTTTCATTGCAGTCACAAAACACCTATGAAGAAATGTCTGGACATGAGTTTCTCAAATTTATGGATGAATGAATGAACATGTTCTCCTCAGTCTTCTCTTCTTAGTGCTCACATCTCAGCCTTTACTTCTTCTAAGCCACCTGACTCCTAGAGGATCCACCACTCTGTTCTTCTAAGGTCTGAAACTGGGATCCAGACATTTTGTTTAATTCAAGGTCACTTCACCACCCACGACTCCCGGCACATATGGAAGGGTATCAAGCCCATCACAAACTACATCAGGGATGCACAATGCTTAAGGGATCCCTCACTGCCAGATGCAGTGAGGGGTCACCTTCTATGCCCACTTTGAGGATCCTAACACCCTCTCAGCACCTGATGACACGCCCCTCTGTGTGACCACAGCAGATGTGAGGAAGAACCTCCAGGGAATCAACTCCCATAAGGCTGCAGGCCCCGACTACATCCCAGGGCGGGTACTGAGGGACTAAGCACATCAGCTGTCTGAGGTTTTGGTGGACATCTTCAACACCTCACTGTCACTGGCTTCAGTCCCCACCTGCATGAAGACTACCACTATTGTCTCTGTGCCCAAGTGCTCCACAGTGACAAGCCTGAGTGACTACTGACCTCAACATCAGTAGTCATGAAGTGCTTCAAGAGGCAGTCATGACCCACATTAAAGACTCCATTGATGTCACTGTGGATCCACATCAGTATGTCTACAGAAAGAATTCCACCTTTGACTTTGTAGTTTAATGTCTTTAAATTGGGCCTCTGTCTCTTTAAAAAGACAGAGGCCCAATGTAAGGCTTTTAGGCGCACCTAAAGAATCAACCAGATGTGTTTTTGATGAGGAACAACATCATAACATGATGTAAATCTCAAAAAAGTCGATTGTACTATGACAACCAAACGTTTCAGTTTATTTCAGCTTCCTCCCATATCCCACCCTTAACCAGACTCACCCAGCCACCAAGATGCGAGGGATCTCACTGGCAAAGGCCTCAGCCATCTCCCGGCTGCCCACGTTGGCGATGCAGTGAAGTGCCAGGCACATGAAGGTTGGATTACGGCTGGACAGGTCATTCTTGATGGCGTTATTGATTAAACGAATCAGCTCACTGTTGCTGTTCACCAGCACTGAGATAAACAGATAGCCCTGGAGAGAGAGACACAGCAGATGACCATTCAAGTTTAGGGCTGCAACTAATAAATTATTTTAGTAAATTGATTATTCTGATAAATAATTTTAAAAAATGGCAGATTTTTCATTTCACCATTTAAGTTTTTTTTAATACAATATTAGAAATTAAAAGAAATACACAAATGGTCATTTTCTAATTTAAAGGAACATAAATATCTCATTGCATAAAATGTGATTCAGCATTCATTTAGTGAATGTGAACCAGGTGAAGCTAAAGCTGCCACTTGGGTTTCGACTAAATCGTATTTCCAGACAGGGTGTTTATATATATATATATATATATTATTTTTTTTATCTTAAATGCAAAATGTAAATATATTTTCTACAGTGCTGGCTTAATTACTGCTCTGACTGTGTTAATCTTTTAGCAAGCTCACTTCTTCTTGAGTCTGTAAACTCAAGTTAATTAAGTGATTACTAAATTAGTTGATTTAGTCCATGGGCCAGACCATTTTTTGGTCTCTCTCAGGGTGGCAAAGTCTGTTCATATTTTTTTAAATGATACATGTCTCTAGACATAATACTCTCCACATCGCAGATAGGACATTACGGCTAAATAAACCTATTATGTTGGAAAGCTTAACTTTAATTAATCAATCAAACCGATGTGCTCTGCTTTGAAATACTTTATAAACCAAACATTTTTCAACCAGACCTGTCTAAATAATATCGGTGTTTAACTCCCACTCATTGGGGAAAGCTAGCAGGAGTTTTTATAACAATGTGCCAGGAGTTGGGCATTTTCTCTCGGTATACCGAACCTGGAGCGCCCAGCCAGCTGACAGCTGGCGAAGGGAGCTGGCTGTTAACGCAGCTGTAGCAGACAGGTCCGAAAATGTCAGAGCAATATTGCAATTAGGTGATGTATTGATGAACCGATCAGTTAATTGAGATTTACACACTTACATTCTTGCCTAAAAATGTTGTACCAAATCATATTGTGTCATTTAAAGTGTTACATTGCTAAATAATTTGTCGCTATTCACCGCCATTGACGCTCTGCCTGAATGCCCAGTTGGAACCCGCAATGAATTATGGGATATCGTGGGCCGTGAAGGATACACCGGACCCATCCTTCAAATCTGGGGAAAAGAAGGACGCATTTGAAGGATGCATTTGAAGGAGTCTTTGAATTCGGACAGGCCTTGTCGCCACGCTATGACGTAATCGCCCTACAAATCCATCCTTCAAAGGATGCAGACCCTGAATTCGGACACAGCTTATGACTCAGCTACTTTGGAAGGGCTACCATACCAAAATATTGTCTAGAGACATGCATCATTTAAAAAAAAATATGGGCAGACTTTGCCACCCTGAGAAGGACCAAAGTCTCAGGGCCATCTGGCCCATGGACTACAATGAAGAAATCATTGATGCACTTGGTCATTTGCACTTGGAAATCTAATATTTGATCAGTAAGCCCAATTTAGACAGAAGTATAAATACATTTTTACAAATTCATGTTAAGATACTTTTTTCTCCTACAAAAAACTTTATGCAAATGGTAATCATGTTTTTGAAAGTAAGTCATTTAATTGCTTATTTTCTTTGGTAGCTATTATGAATTTTTGAGTTTTTATTAATAATAAGATAATACTTTATTTATCCCCAAAGGGGAGGTAAATTTGCTTGCCCCACCATAGCAGACAACAAAAATTAATAATAGTATTAAAACCTGGCTGCGGCTACACAGAGCTAATCATAGCATTTCATGCAAAGAGATGAAATGCTCTTTGCATTTCTTACTTTTGTGTTCTAACCCAAAAGTTAACACTTTTGTGCTAGAACACTTTAACCCAAAAGTGTTCTTAACAAAAACAGCTAATAAAGACAGATGGATTATCTTTTGTAATCCCTTTACTTAAAAAAAATATTGATACATCAATTAAAATTTCCAAGTACTAGTTTTGTCCTTCAATAATATTGTTTATAATGCATGGATGGTTTCCACATTTCCTGAAAAGGATCTAAAAGACATGTGTCTGAACAGTAATTTACTATGGTGGACAAAACCCAATCCACCAATAAGATGGATGGTGACTCATCCTTTTTCTGCCTACTCAACATTTCCTGTTCCTGAGAAAACTGTCCAGAACCAAATTAGGAAATGGCCACAGACAAGCAGTTTAACTTGTACATTTGAGCACAAACCACATTATGTGTTGCTTATGTATCTCAATCACCAATCATTAATTTGGTGTAAAAAAAAAACTGCAGTTGTTAAGGTTTCTTCACAATGACTATCACAACTAAACATCAAATTGTAATCAACTTTTCATAAAAATTACTAAATTCATTCTTAAATAAAATGTTTCCACAGAAAAGTTTTAACTTTATGCTGGTGAAAAACATAAAACTTCCTTGCAGCCACACCATTCTAGGGCTTTAGTCCTTCTGTGTAATTTAAAATCTCTGCTCTTGATGTCAAAATGATAAGAAAACAACAACAAAGGACTTACGATCTGTTTCTCTGTGTACTTGTTGGAGCTAAGTAAATTGACTGCCTCCATGTGTCCAAAATCAATATCATGGCCCAGCAGGAAGATGAAGAGCAGCTTGCAGACATATTTCTTCTTACTGTAACCATCCAGAGCCTTGTCACCTTTGAACTTCGAGCGGATGTTGGCAAGCTCCTTATTTATCCGTTTGATTTCAGCCTCCTTGCTCTTACCTAAGAGACGGAAAAATGTACAGTTTCATTATCAGCAAGGTAGCCATGAGTAATCTGGTTATAAATTAAATCTCTCACATTCAAGAAAAAAAAGCTAAAACATTTTAAATCATCACTTCTTGAGCAGAAAGTGACCAGTTTTTAAAATTACAGAAAATGCAGAATACATCCCAGAATGTCAAAGCTGGGATGCTAGCCCCAGAATGCTAGGAGCATTATCCCCTAGCATTCAGGGGCTAGGGGCCCCAGAATGCCCCTATACATAAATATATAAACATACATAGCATTCTGGGGCTATGGGCTACCCCCAGAATCCTAGCCCCTAGCCCCAGAATGCTAAGGGATAATGCCCCTAGCACAGTGGTTCTTAACCTGGGTTCGATCAAACCCTAGGGGTTCGGTGAGTCGGTCTCAGGGGTTCGGCGGACCCTCTGCCGCGGAGGTAAAGACACACTGTGTAAAGTCGTGATGACGCTCTCCGCTTTGCCATCACTTGCTGCAGAAGATCACATTACATTGCTGAGCCAATCAGAGCTGCGGAGGAGCCCTGATTGAAGGAGTTTCACTCTCAGCATGGATTTGAACTTGTGTCTTTAATTACTTCAGCAAAACTCACAGTTTTTACCAAATTCTATAGTCTAAATCTGCTCCTTAGTCGCATCTTTTCGGGGTTGCTACTGCCTCTAGTGGCGTGGGGGTGGTAACGCAGCTAATATAATTACATTACTAAATCAGAATACCGTAAACTATTTTGTGTGTCTGCAGGGGGGAGCAGGGGGAAAAAGAAGGGTTCGGTGAATGCGCGTATGAAACTGGGGGGTTCGGTGCCTCAAAAAAAGGTTAAGAACCACTGCATTCTGGGGCTTTATATTTGAAATCCCTCCAAAATATAACGATGGGTGTCACAGCTATACTAGCTGACAGTGGTGCCCAGTGTGTGAGGTTCTTATTTTTTCAGCTATAATAAGAACACGATGTGTTTTCTCTGTAAAAGTAATGCACCAGTTTCACAAATGGTTACTTGGGAATTTCAGTCAAAATACTATTTGTATCAGTATTATCACAACAAATGTTCACTTTAAATCTGCTAGCTTACCAGCCCTTAGCCTCAGTATAAGTCAATCTAAGTCAGGCTTCAGATAAGTTTCAGGGCATCTTATTTATTGAACAACTCTGATTCAATGACAATGTTTTTCATAACATTTTACAAGAGAACAAGCCTCAGAACATCAAAGTCATGTTTCTATTTCCCACAGTTAATCAAAAATCCCAATGACAGGAGTCAACAACCTTAGCTAAGTCAAAGAGCCAATGTAAGGTAAATAATAACCAGGTACACTGTTGTGCAAAAGCCACTAAGAGCCTCCCAAAATATGCCTTTGGCAAAAACAGTGTTGAAGATGAGGAGAAATCAGATTGCTTAGAGACATTTTAGCTTATTTTATAAAAATTCTGAGCCTTGGTTTGCAAAGAAATCACCTAGCAAAAACAAACTATTACTATGTTTAATCTGAATATATATATATATATATATATATATATAATGTCTTTATAGATGCATATATACACATATAGACACAAATATATAATATTTTACAAAAGTCAGACAATAGCAAATCAATGCACAAGGAAAATAAATGAAAACAAATGGCAATGTCTAGATAAATTCATGGATAAGGAGACTATTCAGGGACATCAAGAAGTCACTAAAGAGAACCAGGGATAATGCAGAAAACAAGCAATTGCTGTTTGAAATGTAATTTCATAATAAACTACTGCATACAATTACAACAATGCTGCTTGAAATAGTTATTAATCATCATTAGGCCTGTCAAGATAACAAATTTTGCTGGACGATTGTCTAAAAAAATTATTGCGATAAACGATAATTCAATTAATCAGACGATAAATTAAACCTATCGACCTCATTTTAATTATCGTCTTTATCGTATCTTCCTGCCTTTTTTTCTTTCTGTTGACACTGAATAAAAAAGGCTCAACTCCGGTGCTCTCCACTTAC